ATGGATCGAGTGGACCATTTCGATAAAGAAAGTGCTTTGTTCAAGGAGCAAGGGCTCTGTAGATGAAGCAAATAGAGCTGAGATCAGAAAGGAAGGCGAGAACAAAGCAGAAATTGCCGGTTCTACACCTTCTTTCTTACTCAGGGTTGTAGAAAATTATTCAAAGGAGAAGACCAAAGTTAAACGTATGATTATTGTAGAGTACAAGGCTTCAGAAGAAGCGTAGAATATGTAGGATTGAAAAAAGAGCAGCATGACTTTTTGAAAAGTGTGTTTGAGAGTGAGCTTCCTACTTCAACAGTAGAGAGAAGTCAGGTGCAGAGTAGCGAAGTGTATATTTACCCAATAAAGTTAATAATAGGTTCAAACAGGTACCGGAACCGGTAATAAATGCGATACGGTATAGAGAAGCACTGAAGTCTCCTCGAAACGTCGTAACGCCATATCATACGATCATTTACCAAATAACGATGCGCGTGATGAGATGTTCAGGTATTTCACGTGCGGTGGTTAGCTCGCCATTTGAAAAGTTGAAGCGTGCATTAACAGACGCGCCAGTACTCGTGCGCACTGATTTTGAGCGTCCCTTTTATTTGCACTGCGATGGCTCTTCCTTCACGGTTGGTGCGTGTTTATTTCAGGTATTCGACGATGGCGAATATTCGATATGGTACGCCAGTAGAATGCTAAACATGCACGAGCGAAATTACACGAACGAAATTACAGCGAAATAAAATCGAATTTTTGGCGGTACTTTTCGCGGTAAAGAAGTTTAGGCCTTATATAGAAGGTTCGCACTTCGTTATAGTCACGGATCATAGCGCGCTTACTAGGATTTTGAACAAACATGAATTAACATCGTTTAGAGCGGTGGGTAATTTAGAGATGGTAACAGGAGACTCGAGTTCCAGCAATTAGATTGCGAAATCGTAAATCGAAAGGGAGTGCTATATTATGTACCAGATGCAATTTCGCGAGAATTTGAAGATGAGCTAGAAATATGCGCGTTTGATGAGATTCAAGATAAATGGTATCTTCAACGCGTTAAAAACATTCTTCAAAGACCAATGAAATTTGAGGATTAGAGAGTAGGTTTTATATCGATATATACGCGATCGCCTGCTCGTATCAGTAACAAATTACAAGGAGTATTGGCTCATATTAGTACCGCTCGAGTTTAGAAAAAGAGTTTTAAGGGTAGCCCATTGCAAGCCGTTTACTGGACACTTCGGTTTGGAAAAAAACTTATGGTCGAATAGCTCGAAAATACGATTGGCGGGGTATATGGTATGACGTTAAGATGTTCGTAGACGAATGTAGGCAATGTCAAAGGTAAAAGGTAATCCAGCAAGCGCCGCAAGGTTTGATAAGTAAATGCGTAGTAGAAAGACTGTGGGTATTGATAGCGATTAAACTTATGGAGCTGCCCCATAGTAAAAGCTAGTATAGATATGGTGGTGTTTCAGGACCTATTTACGAAATGGGTTGAACTGAAACCGCTATGGCCGGTGGACAGTCTCGCCCCCGTTGCCGTGCTCGAAGAATTAATTCTCTTCAGATGGGGAACTCCTGAATATATTGTTAACGATAATCCGAAAGCATACAAAATCAAGGTATTTCAGATAGGTTACGAAAATATGGTATTGATCATTAGTTGTGTCCTGCATGTCGTCAATAAAGTGATCCGCTAGGGCGTGTTAATCGGACTTTAAAAACGATCATGGAAGCTGGGATAGGTATTTATATGAATTTCGCAATTCCATAAACACAGGATTCCACCAAGGTATCGACAGCATTTTTGAATTTCGATATCCGCGACCAGGAAAGAGTTTAAAGCACTAAATAGAGGTATAAGCGCCAATAGTTAAGCTAGATACAAAAGCGTTGAAAGATAGATTATTGCGTTTGAATGCATGGCGCGATTTATTAGCCAAACACACCGACGAGGCACAGGAAAAGTAAAAGAAACACTACAATAAAGGTAGGCGTCAGCCTTTTTTCCAGGCAGGCGATTTGGTTTGGCGCAAGGTGTATACGTTCTTGAACACGGTGGTAGATAGAAATGCGGAACTTAATCCGAAATATGACGGACCATTTAAATCGTTTTGCTAATTTCGCAAGAGATATACGAGTTAGTAGCGAACAGCAAACATCGTACGACTAAGGTGTATGTATCCGAAATTAAGCGTAATATACCGCCACGTAAAGATAAAATATGATTTATCAGGTAAGAAGACGGGTGTAATGATATATGTGATTTATTTTAAAATTATTCAGAGATTCATCGACGTCGGGAGATGATGGCTGAAGAGACAGGAGAGTCAAGCCGCGTTTTTCAGGCTGTCACGGTTCAGGAGGCTATGGATGACTCGATTTTATCGACACATCTGACGGAAGCTGTTGAAGTTATGGAGATGAACCGGGTGTTGAGGTCTGCCGCCCCGCTTTCGGGCGTAAAGCAGACAGCCTTTGAAGACACTAATGTTGCCTTCTGTATCTCGCAGTTAGCTCGCATATCGGTTGGCGAGGCTGAGATCGGAAAGGCGGAGGATTTACCTTTGACGCTACCTCTGCCTTCGCCTTCGACATGAGCGATCGGCGTAGAGTCGGTCTACAGACCGGGGGCAGAATGATCAAGTAGACGATTCGTTTAGTCTTACCGACGAGTACATGGGATGAGGTCGTGCGTCGGAGCGCGAGATTCCAACTCATGACGCTTTGCATTCGCAAAGTGACGGAGAAGATGAGGTTGAATTCGGCAAGTAAGGGAATCGTTTTTTCGCTGGTGATAAGAACGTAACCCAGGCGAGTACTTGCCGGGCTCTTTATCTGCTGTAGCTGGATGCTTTTTGGCTAATCGGATCAGTATGTCGTGTGTAATGATCGGGAAAGGGGCCTACAGTCGCTCGTTGTAAAGCGCCACCAACGGTATCTTGGAGGTGGTGTTGAGCTCAAACGACTTGGAGAAGGAGACTGTACAGGATCGTTAGTTGCTCCGTGTAGCTCCGAAACCGCACATCTATGCTTCATTTTCTTTTAAGCCTCTCGATAAGCAAAGGTTAGAGGCGGCGTACTACTTCGTCCGTCGGGGTGGGCTCGGACGTTTCTTATCGGCTAATTCAACCTATCTCCATATAACTTTGAGAGGCCATCCTCCGGGCAGGCGTCTTTAATGCCTCAAGCGGTGAAGGAAGCTTTTGTGGAGGCAACCAGCACCCTCATGCCATCGGTATCTTTGGCGGTTGATGCGATGAAGGCCTCGAGAGGTAGAACGGGCACCGTGGCCGGGAAAATGGAGACGGTGCGTAAGAGGCAGTAATGATACCACTGGCCCTACGTAGAATGGAATCGGAGCGGTCAACCTTCTTGCCGGTACGATATGTCCCATCATCCCAGGCAGCGAGCTCATCCTCACCTCCCGAAATACCGTGTTAGGTCGACGAAACGGCCATAAGGTTGATACAGGGGACTTTCTTCCGGGAGTTGGTGCTGGTTTCATGGAATGTCGTTTCGTTGCTTCAATTGCAGAATGGGGCGCATCTACGTTCGATCTGCCCTAATTCGCCTCTCGTCCGTCGAGTCTGCAAAAACTGTGAATTACTCGATTTGCTTGTCCACTGCTGCCTGTGCTGCCTTGATGCTTATGCGGTTTATCTAGTGAAAGCGAGGGCGGTGGTGAAGAAAGGGGCTCGAGGACAGTCCAGGGAGCCGCTGAGATTCCAGACTACTCCAGTAGAAAGGGCGGAGCCGGTGCCAGTAGCTCCTGAGGTGGTGCCGATTGTGGTAAATCCCGAATCATTAGTCGGGAAGTCTAAGGTAAAGAAGCCGCAGCACAGATGTGGAAAGAAATAGCGGGAGAAGCTCGCACGCACCCAGGCTTGAGAGACATCAGCAAATAACGCGACCGAGGCTTTAGTTTGAAAGGAAGTCGCGTCGGCTTGTGCGTAAGTCGAGACGGTCGGAATATCTGGGGCTCCACGTGCCGCCGTGCCAGAGGTAACCGGGTAAAGTCTCTCCGGTGAGAACGTCTCTTCTCCCTCGGCGGTTAAACTTCAAGCTTTGAGGCTCCGATATTTGGAGTTCTTAGCTAGATGGAACCGATCATAAATATAACTTTTAATTTAATTTGTTTTGGTGGAAGTAGCAGTCGGTGTTGTGGTAACTGTTTTCTCGTTGAAGAAGACAAATGGCTTAGTTTTATCAACATTTATTTTAATAAGATAAGATATGGATCACAAATTGCGAGCGTTTTGCCTTTGAATTTCTTTTGATTGTTATCTAACTAGAGATAAGATTTTAGTTTAGGATAGATTAAGGCAATATTAAGGTTTATTTAAGAAATTTGGTATGCGTCCTGTGCTTGCTGCTGGTTGTCTGTCGAGAGAGTGAGGTCAGGCCGTTCGCTCAGTTTCGAGCTCTGGCCTTGGGAAGGGATATGATAAGAACAGGCAGCAGTGTGTTTCTCGCTTGCCTTTCTCCCTCTCCCCTCTACTTTCGACAAGGCTCAGTGGTCACTAATGGGTGCACTATTTGAATGCGTCTAATACTGTACCTCTTTTTCAGCCGCTGAAGATAGCCGAAGGTTCGTAATTTCGTGAATTATCAGTTATAATATAACTATGATAATTACTGCAAAATAGTCGAACAAAAAAATTATAAAATATTATAAACATTATTGTAAGTATAGATGTTGAACGTGATAGTATATAAATGATATATAATAAGGTAAAACATAGTATTATCTGTATCTTAAGAAATCCCAATTGAATTATTATTAATTGTTTTTTCGATAATAATAACAATAGTTATTAAGTATATTCACTTATTTCAGTTTACATTTACTTAGAATATGCACTCGCAAAAATTTTTTCGTTAGAAACTTGATATGACGAAAAATTATCTATGAATATTTTCACAAAGATTATCTCATAAGATCTTTCTTTTACATTTTGAGTTGTTATTTACTTGAAATTCATAATTATTTACTTTTTTGCTAATAGGTAAAAGTAGTAATAAAATGAATATAGAGATTTCGAAAAACAATACCGATCAAGAAGGCATTGGCGGACATCTAAAGAAATGTGGGGATTCTTATTTTGATGTAAATAATCAACAAATGGATAGTTTCAAACAAAGCTATTTGGATAAAAATTATAAGAGGACATCAATTTTAAATTCAGACACTTTGAATTTGAAAACAGGTATTATTTTGAGACGGTAAGTCGAATTATGCATAAAAATCATACAGTCATTTATATAATTGTTTAATAATATAAATTAGACTTATTTATTTATTTTTTAAAAGAGACACTTTAAACATTGTCTAGTGCGAAAATATATCATAGCGACTTGCTAATGAATAAATTTCTTAACAACAGATCGAACTGGCGGTGAGTCTCGCACCGACTGACACATTAATTAGATTTAAATTTTCTATCGGTTGGGAAAATTAATAAACAATGATTTCTCGTTACAGCTCAATGTTTCTTTTATAAAAATATTATTAATAAACATTTTATAACAGGGTTTTCAACCTAATGATCGCCATTGATGTAAAGAAAGGTAACTATCTTCCGTAAAACTATATCGAACAACATGTTGAATGATCTACTCATTGCCACTAGCAGCGCAGGTTGTTCGAAATCTGACCTAATAACGCAGTAATGTTGCTGACGAGGAACAGTTCTTAACTGAATCCGCAGAAAGCTTTGTTGGACTTCGTCTAGCATCTACACAACAAGCTCATTAAAATACGATGGAGTAGTGCAATCCACGGTCGATCTTGTTCATTTACCTATGAAATATTTAATTTAATGATATCTATCTCTACGTTCTGTTCTCTCTATTAATAAAATACATGGCATTTTAAACATTTTGTTGAAAATATTCTACATGAGTAAAAAATTAGATCATTGAATATACGAGGGTGGTCCGATAAGTACTTAGCCTCACCGCCCGATGGCGCCACTCTCGCAAAAGCAATATTCTATCACGTAATACAACCTTCTCGATGGTTACTGTCAAGATTTTAGCCGGATCGGAGTTGTAGTTTATTTTTGAGAGCGTGTGAAAGCAAGTGTGTCCGTTGATTTTTGAAAAATGGAAAAAGAGCAGTATCGGTCGATGATTCGATTCTTGTTTTTGGAAGGAAAATCGCGCAGCGAAATCAAAAAGCGCTTGGATGCTGTGTACGATGACTCTTCTCCTTCGATGGCGACCGTCAAAAATTGATTTAACGAGTTTCAACGTGGTCGCACGTCGATTTTTGAAGAGCCACGTCCAGGTACTCCGAAAACGGCTACCACGGAGGATAACGTGACAAAAATTCACGATCTCGTATTGGCAGATCGACGTTTGAAGGTGCGCGAGATAGCTAAGATCGTAGGCATCTCAAAAGACCGCGTGGGTCATGTCCTGCATGAAATTTTGGGCATGAGAAAACTGTCGGCGCGATGGGTGCCGCGTTTGCTCACTCCGGACAACAAGCGCAACCGTGAGACAACTTCAGAGCAATGTCTGACGCTGCAATCCAAAGGAGTTTCTGCGTCGTTTCGTGACAGTCAACGAAACATGGATCCACTGGTATACACCAGAGACCAAGGAACAGTCGAAACAGTGGAGTTTACCCAGCGAAAATGCTCCGAAGAAGGCGAAGACTGTCCCATCGGCCGGAAAGGTGATGGCCACCGTTTTCTGGGATTCACAAGGTGTGATCTACATCGACTACCTGGAGAGGGGCAAAACGGTCAGAGGGCTGTACTAAGCCGAATTATTGGGCCGATTCGACGTCGAATTGCAGAAAAAATGGCCCCATTTGGCGAAGAAAAAAGTGCTCTTCCACCATGACAACGTACAGGCTCACACCTCCGCCGTCGCCATGGCCAAATTGGTCGAATTAGACTACGAACTGCTACCCCATCCACCGCATTCTCCGGATTTAGCCCCGTGCGACTTCTTTTTGTTTCTAAACTTGAAAAAGTCACTCGCTGGGCAGAAATTTGAGTCGAATGAGGTGGTAATCGCTGCTACGGAAGCCTACTTTTCAGACCTCGAGGAAACGTATTTTTCAGACAGGTTAAAGAAGTTGGAGCATCGCTGGGCCAAGTGTATCGAACTAAAAGGAGACTATGTTGAAAAATAAAACGCCACTTTTCCAAAATTTTCGTTTTTCTTTTGTAGGTTAAGTACTTATCGGACCACCCTCGTAGATGCTTATATTCTTATATTGAGAGGCGTCTCAGATAGCGCCTTGTGCACAAACAAATTACTGATATGAACTAACCACGTAGTAGAAATACTATGAGTACTACTATACTATATAGTAGAAACACATGATAAAAAAATTAACACTTTTTTTCCTATACATTTTTTAGAATTTTTAGAATTTACGGAGATAAAAAATGTTTAAAAAAACTCACTTCTCGGAAAAAATGTTCGTGCGCGCGTTGGTTTTGACGAAAATAATTTTTTGACCAGTGATTCAGATAGTGCTTGATAGAAGCTAAAAAATGATTTAACCCAAATTTTTGTAAGATTTTTTTCCAGATTTGGCAAATTTCTAAACTTAGTGTAAAAATGTTCTGAATTTTTAATGTTAAAATATTGCTTGCTTTAAATTTAAAAACATTCGCTGGTATCCATGATAAATCATTTTTTAATCAGATAATCAGATAATTTTTTAATCAGATAATATCAGATTGAATCAGATAAATTATATTTCTAAATGGTATAAATACCATTTAGAAGCTCTTGGAAAGACCTTTCAAATGCGCCCTCGGGCAACACTGTACGTTAATTTTTAAATAGAGACATTAAACTTTAAAGTTTGACTAATTTTGCGGAGGGGGACCCAAAGTAAATGACCGGCAGTGTAGATATGTCTAATAGCAACCAAATTTGCTTATTGTCTCTATATCTGAGACATATTGTAAATAGTCTTGGAGTAATGAAAAAAAATCTACAAAAAGTTATTCCCATAGGGTAACATATATTTTCGAAGTATTTTTTTATGCAGAATAGAATGGTGCTATTAGATTTATCATAAAACCTACTTTATCGAGCGCTAAAAGTGAAAAACTGAATGATAGTTTTTAGTGGTTTTTTTGTACTGCTATCATCTAGCGTTTGACAGATTAGGTTTTATAATGAATCTAATATTACTGGTAATAACTTTTTCTAGACCTTGAAATAATACTCTAAGTTCCTTGTTCGTTATCAACAAACATTGAAGACATTAATTTTACACTAATCTCACGACAACTGAACATTTTGTTCAAAACTTGTAATACATTTTTTCAATTTTCATCTCTACATAACTTGAGTAAGAATAAGAAAAAAAGTACGGAAGCTTAAATGTTATAAAAATTTTCCAAATCGTTAGAATTATCATTAATATACGTTGTTTACACTTCACAATATAAATTATTCCAAATCATTAACAATGGAGGTTTCTTCACATTAGATAACTTAAAAAATAAAACACTGTTTCAATTCAATTATTTGCAATTTATTTATATTTCTATTACGATAATGCATTCTGTACAATATTTTCAGTAGTTTCTACTTTCGAAATTATCAGTTGATCGTCAAAGCAACTAGTCAGAATCTTAAAAAAATGACTGGACAAATTAACCGTTCAGCAGTTTTGGTTAGATATCTTTGGTGTTCGGTAGTATAAATTGTGAATTCTTTGTACAAACATTACTTATAAGGGAGCATTCTCAACCGTCCTCCTTCAATTTTGTTGCAATTGAGATATGTTATACTTTATAAAAAATTAGAGACATATATTTTTGTTATCGGCAAATAAGCTGTCTAGGCAGTGAAAACCACCCTCAAAAGTCATCCCGCACAATACTTAAACAGCAGTAATGTAGGTTGTGATGAATCTTTTTTGACGAAACAAAATGGAAAAAATTTCTTACTTAAAAAACAACAAAACCGCATAGTTTTGTACTCGCGGGGTCGCAACTCCTACGATGTACAGAGGAAAAACTACATTTTTGATTGGATTTTTCGTGTACAGAATCACAAAATTATCATAAAAAAATTGAAAAATAAATTTTCATATAGGATATGATAAAATAAAATTGACGTATTTTTTTATTTTTATGTATTTGGAGGGTGAGCTACCCCTAAACCCTATTATTACTATGTGAATAGTTGCCGATCACCAATTTTGCTGATTTTCCGCATGCTATGACGTTCAAAAGTAGGCTACACTGTTAGTCTGTAGGAAAATAAATGTAAGGGCTGAAGTCCACCCTCAAAAACTACCCCTAAAACACTATTACAGTAATATCTTCTGTTTACATCAGTATTTTTCGACAAAAAAATTTGAAAAATTCATTATAAAAAAGAGAATATAACTATATAGCTTTTGTCTCTGGGGGTTACGACCCCTGCGATGTAAAGGGAAAGAACAACCTTTTCGATTGGATTTTTCGCGTAAAAAATCAAGAAATTACTATAAAAATTAAAAAATAAGTTTTCATCTAGAAAATGGAAAATAATATTGAGAAGCTTCGGAGTTATTTCATTATTTAATATTTTGAGGGAGAACTACCCCTAAATTCTACTATTGCTACGAGGGTGGGTGATAAGTCTTTACGAAATCCAAGAGATGGCGCTCGTCACGCTTAAATTATGCTGTTTTTGGTAAGCAATACTACTAATTAGATATCGTACAAAGTTTCAGCTCGATTCATTAAGTCGTTTTTTTGTGAGCGTTGGTTGAACAAAAAGTTATTGGTTTGTTTGAAAAATGGAAAAAACAGAGTTTCGACCGGAGATAAAACATTTTCATTTGATCGGCCTTACACCAAAAAAAAATCACAGTTGAGTTGAACGCCGTTCATGGCAAGTCTGCCCCTGTGTTTAAAACTGTTTATAACTGGGTAAATGAATTTAAACGTGGCCGTACAATAACAAAAGATGAACCTCGTTCAGGAAGCCCCGTAGAAGTGAGTACGCCCGAAATGGTTAACAAAATCCACGATATGGTGTTGAGTGATAGAAGATTAAAATTGCGAGAATTAGTGGAGGCCACAGAGGTATCAAAGGATACAATCATTTCAATTTTGCATGAAAAATTGGGGATGAAAAAAATATCAGCAAGATGGGTGCCGCGTTTGGTACCTGTTGAAAACAACCGAACCCGCGCGGTCACCTTTGAGGCTCTTTTGGCACGCATACGTCGTAATCCGAAAGACTTTTGG